AAACAAGCATGTCATAAAACACCTCGCTATACGTCGATAAGCGATAATTTTATTTGTTTATCAAAAATATTAGATTAGACAAGAAAATTCAAACAAACCTGCTGCAGGCAAATGAATAATTCCTCCTCCTCATAGTATCTACAGTCTTCATTTCTCCGCAAGGTGGGATCATAATCTATCAGTAGAGTCGAACTCAGCCGATCCGAGCTTTATTGATGACTGTCGCTGACATCGCGAGCGGAAACAAAGAAACAGTAATCCCCTTTGTTGAAAGCCAGACATCTATTGTGTTATATGCTCATATCGTCTTACATTTGCGCTAACGAAGAACACTGTACCAATATGCGCTCCATAAGGATGCTAATTCTTGTAATCATAAAATGGTATAAGGCCCTCCCACAAAAGGAAGCGGGCGTTCTTGAGCACCAAGTCATTTTACACATGTGTTTGATCGAGATCGGTTGGATATAAGGTGTCAGGCGTCATTTGGTTTCCTTCTTTGTTCTTAGTAATTTCGTCATTAATCTGTTGTATCGATATCGTAATTGCTAAGTTCGTTGTCGTTCTAGCAAATTTACCGTATAAAAAATTTAATTACTCAAGTTTGAAGTACTGCCAACCAAAGAAGCAAATAGGACTTTCAGTTTTTATCACGGCTAAGGAAAATCGAGACAAATTTGAGCCAGCCATCCGGATTCGAATTAGCGACTTAAGGGTTCAGTTAAGAAAGAAGCGACCTAAGGATTCAGTCAGGAAAGAAGCGACGGAGCGTGTAAGTTTTATGCGGATCAGCTTACAATGAAAGTTGAAAGTGAGAGTAAAGAAAGAAATATGATTGCAGAGGTAGCAGAAAAAGGAAGTTTCTCCTTCCTATCTTATCAAAAAGAACTTGAAGTGTTTGGGGACATTGCGGAAAAGGCTGTTGGACAAGCAATAAAGTTTCAAGGGAAAGAATTACCAGCGATTTAGGCACCAAAAATGATAGAATGATTAAAACGACAAAAACCTAATATTAAGGAACGAGTAGTAGCGTTGGACAGTGTAATTTCCAAGGATTTAGAGATAGAATGGAATTACTGCGTTCAATAAAGGATGATGAGTGGGAGAATGACGTTAATTATGAGGATTACTTGTATGAAGAAGACCGTCTTTTTCACACAGGAAATAAGATTTATTGTGAAAGAACTTCACTTCTTACGGAAAAAAATCGAAATGAGACACTCAAAGAAATTAAAGTGAAAAATGAGAAGATAGATAATGAATCAATCGCAATAGCAGGGCAAAAGAAAGGCCTAGAAGATTTAATTGGGAAACTAATCATGACGAGTAAACTACTGATTTCAACCCAGTAGGATATGATGGCAACTCGAGAATGTGGGGCCAGTGTATTAGCCAGTTTCAAGAGTCAATTCATAAGGGAACGAATTTAACACCAACACGGGAATTCATGCATCTATTAAGCAGTTGGAAGGGAGAAGCAGGAGAACAAATAAGTGAACTCATGGTAAATGAAGGAAATTATGCGCTGGTCATAGAGACTTTGTACGGACGATGTAGCGACAAGAAACGAGATGAAGGGACTATGTAGGGCGGGTTCGATGCTCAAATGAAGAACCCATTCAAAGTGGTAAGGGAGCTTTTGAATTTATTATCCAACTAAAAGGAATCGGTGAAAACATGGAAACGACGCAGCTGGACTGGTGGTAACTGAGAGAGTACCGGAAGTCATGGCTTAAAGTCTGAGAAAAAAGAAGTCTAGGGATCCAGGACGGACAGTGGAAGAATTGTCAAGCACCCAAAAGAAAAGATGAAGACCGAAAGAGACCCTGAACAGAAACCGCTGGAACAAGAAGTTGAAAGGCTTAATAGGCAGGGCAAAGATGCAGCAGGCAAGATCATATGCGACAAGGTTCACGAACTGAGAAAGTGGCATCGGACTTATGATAGTTTGCTCCGTAGCGGAGGAAGACCCAGAAATATATCCTAGCGAAATACCACAAAGGGGAGAATGAAGTCGATTATTGTGCATTTTCTATGAAAGTGACCACTGGAATGACAAATGTGATATATGCTGTATTGTTAATGAAAAGTTGGAAAGGATAAAGGAATTGAGACTTTGTGAATTGTGTTTGAGAGAACGGCCACTCACAAGAAAATTGGAGGCGGAGGATGAAACGTTTGTATTGCGATCTAGCCACAATAGCGCTTCATGTAAGGGACACGGCGGAAGAGAGCATAGCAAGAATTTTAAAAAGCGGGCGGAAGCAAACCAAACGCCAAAGATAGTGGCAGCCACTTTGCGGATTATTGCATCAAGGAAACGTATATGATGTCAGATGAACGAAGAACAGCAAAGGCCTTAATTTTCTTTGACACGGGAAGTGGTTGTAACTGTGTTACGAAGTCATGGTAAACAAATTGAATTTGAAGCGCATCGTCGAGTGTAGGAATGTTAATAACAGGAATGGCGGACACAAGGAAGTACGAGTGCTGAAAGATAACCTTTGGTGTTCAACCTTTGGTGTTCAAATGTTATCCGAGAATGTGGGAAATATCCAAGCATGCACTGTTGATTTAGTACTCGAACGCATACCGTGTATGACAAACGACAAAAGCGAGGAACTGGAAGAAGGGGAGTGGGGAAAGTCAGATGTATTAGTAGGCGTGGGAGGGATTGAAATTTTAATTCGTAATTTCATAAAGCACCCCACCAGGATGAATGATTTCGGAAACAGAAATAGGAGTGGTCAAAGGCGGCAAAGGGAAAGTGACATAAGGTAATGGTGCAAGAAGGAGATATAATGAGGATTCCAAGCAATTACAAGCCTAACAAGAAAGGTGTTGCGAATTTCTCCATGGAACAGGCTGAACAAGCATGGGAATTAGAGGCAGTCGGCATTGAGGGTTTAATGACGGATTATCAGGACGAAAAGGCCCTTGAAGCCTTTCAGGAATCGCTTGCTACGAACAAAGAAGGGAGATGTGGAGTTGGCCAAGAAAGAACCAAGAGATCGCGCCAGTAGAAGGATATGGACTGATACGGAGAACGGCTACGATCCACAATGCGAAGACTGAAGAAGTTTTCAAATTATTGGAGTGTTAGCTAAATATTTTAAAAACTTCTTGGGAAGAGGAGTCATAGGAAGGGTGAAGAATCAGAGTGGTTCCACCAGGCGGTTACAACACCTTAAAAATCTACCACGAAACTTAAGAGTAGTATTTGACGCGTTAACAAAGACGAACGAAAGTCTATCGTTAAATAAATATCCCCGTTAAAGGGGCCAGTATTGATACTATCATTAGTAGGAATTATGTTAGGAGCCGGACAAGGACGTTACCTGCTGATAGCTGATGTAGAGAAAGCGTTTTTGCAAGTGAGCTTGAATTGGGAAGATAGAGATATCACCAGGTTTTTGTGGCTGAGATTCCTTTCGGCGTGGTATCACCGCCTTTTCTGTTGGCCGCTTCGTTAGACATCTGTTGAATGAAAAAAGCTCGAAATTACCACTAGAAATAGCAAGGAATCCCTGTGTTGATAATGTTGTATTAACCTCAGGAAATGGGTTAGAACATAACAGAAAGGTAGAGGAAGAAAAAGGTCTCTTCAAGAAAGCCAAGATGTGCTTGAGGGGATTCCATGGGGACTATGGCATTAATGTGAACAGTGAGCAAGAAATAACAAGGAGGACTATACCAAAACGTCAGGGATTGAATGGAATAATAACAAAAATGAAATTACTTGGAGCTAGAGGATTCCAGAAGGCCTCCAGGCCAGACACCAAATATTACAACTCTATGCTACTGTTTACTACGATCCGTCAGGGATATTGTGTCCGTTCATACTCCCATGGGAACTATCGGTTTAAGACTTATGGGAGGAAAGTGTCTTCTGAGATGAAAAATTAGGACTTGAAGAGATGGGTCGTTGCTTGGAGCTAGAAAAGACATTCAACCAACAGGATGTCACAAAGGTATCGCGATGGACGCCACGGGAGTTCTCCGAGATACATGTGCTTGTGGACGCATCCCAAGGAACTAAGAAAACTACCGGTAGAGTCTAGATGTATCCAGTGGAATTGATGGGATAAGAAGAAATTGAGTTCTGTCATGTAAGATCAGCAAATAATCCAGCGGACCGGGCTTCAACGAGGACTTCTCCCAGGGAAACTGAAAGACAATTCGTGGTGATGAAATGGTCTATCATGGTGTGGGAACCGGACGAAAAGTAGTCTGAGGATGAAGTTATGGGAGGAAACATCATGAGTGTGTGTTGTGTGTATGGTCATGGAATTGATGGGGGAAGAAACGATACAGTCGGAACAAGTTGCGGCATTGATAAATGAGATCCAATTCTCATCTCTGTTTAAGCTGATAAGGACGGTGTTATACGTCTTAACGATTGCTGGCGAAAGCGTCAAAAGGAGTGTGAAAAGGTTCTCAAGAGAGAATTTCGCTTCTAAAGAGTACAACAAGGCGACACAATTGATAAACAAGATGACACAGTTAAATATAACGTAAAAGGAAATCGAACAGTGGGATTTAAGAAAAGATCGGGATGGAGTCTACAGATATGTTGGAGGACTTAGGTCATGCCTCAAACTGGGGATTTTCCATACTTCATCAATAAAGGAAAGCTGTTAAAATTGATTGTGATGCATTAGTATGAAAAATCATTTCATGCGAGCGTACGCTACACCTGGCACATGATACAACAGTACTGGATCTCGCATGAGTGGTCATTTATTAAGAAAAATTTGAAAGATTTGTAAAGTGGGTGCATCATGTTGGGTGGCTACGGCTTTGAACAGCCAGAGTTTCCACCTTATCCACCAGAAAGGATAACGGTGAGCAAACTCCTCGAGAAAATCGGGGTAAATCTTGTTCCTGTGTGGGTGAAAGACAACAGGACAGTATCAAAGTGCTGGGTAGTTCCATGCACGTGCTTAGTTACAAGAACCATTTACATGGAACTCGTGAAAAATATGCCTGCTGAGACTTTCATGCAAGCGTGCAAGAGATCTGTTAGCCAAAGGCGAAATCCAAATTTTGTGTGGCTGATAACGCCGGGGACTTTTTTCTAGCTTCTAAGTTAGTATAGGAGAATAGCAATCAAGGATAAAGGCGACTAAAGTGGCAATTCATTGCCCCGGGTGCCCCGTGGCAAGGAGGTGTCTATGAAAGGGTGATTGGAGTAGCAAAGGGAGGGTAGTGGAAAAGAACTTCGTGAAAGAAGGGGAATTCATCACTATGATAACTGAAATTGAATTCTTGGTAAGCGAAAGACCACTGGTAAATTATGAAAAGGAGGAGGAGTTAGTATTATGTCGAGAGGATTTTTTGTGGCTTGGCTGTAACGGTGTGTAGAATTCGTTGGGATATGGAACAATTTCCAGGAACCAAAGACTTAAAATACGGTACGAAACCGCTTCATTCGGGAAAAGTTAATACCAGAATACCCGGAGAAGGTTACAATGCTTGTGGGAGATATAACAAGAGGATTATTTGGAAAGCGAAAATTGCATGAAAATCTTCGCAGTCGTGTACGACGTAAGCCAATCAATGGCGATCAAAGCCAATCAATGGCGAAATAGTATTATCAAAAGGAGAAGGTCCCCTAGAAATTCTTGGAAAATGGGTCGGGTGGAAAAACTGATCGAGAGAAAAGACGGACACTGTCGATCTGCTAACGTAAGAATGTCGAATAGCCTGCGGTTGACTCGCGTTGTGGACATCTATACTCTATAGAAACTCTATACATCTTCTCTCGTCTCCCGAGTGTTGCTGATATCGCGAGTGGAAACAAAGGAACAGTAATCCCTTGTTGAAAGTCAGACATCCTTATGTGATATGCTCATATCGTCTTACATTTGCGCTAACGAAGAACACCGTACCAATGTGCGCTCCATAAGGATGCTAACTGTTGTAATCATAAAACGGTATAAGGCCCTCCCACAAAAGGAAGCAAAGATCCTGAGCACCAAGCCAATTTACACATGGGTTTAATCGAGACCGGTTGAATACAAGGTATCACGCGTCATTTGGTTTCATCCTTTGTTCTTGGTGATTTCATCAATTTCTTGTATCGATATCGTACTTGCTAAGTTCATTGTTGTATTAATAAATTTGTCATAATAAAAGGTTTAGTTCCCAAGTTTGAGATAAACCAATCAAAGAGGCAGAAAGAATTCTCAGTCTTTATCATGGTTGAGGAAAATCGGCGACGATGCCTACCGTACATTCATTAGCATAAACAGATTTCACGATCCTTCCGAAATCAAGAGTATAATTCAGCAAACATCAGCTGCATTAACCTACCAACGTCATATTTAAATGAAATATTGATGTATAGGAAGTGGGATTCATTCTAAACTGGAAATTTTTTTAGGAATTTAGAAAATTCCAGTACTTTGAATTTCAACTAAATAGCGCACTGTAATGAGATTGCTTTCAACCTTTGCTGTCCCATTAATTTTGATGATAGACGCAGGCAATTTTATTTCCCCGCACCGCATGGTCAATTTCTCTGCATTTATGTGTTTATCCTTCAGTGACATCCATTATTTCAAAATGAATCGTTTCTGCCTGAGTTCACCAAAACAATCTCGCCAATTCATCATCAGTGACATTACTAATGTAATGCATGATGTGTATTCAGCCGGTACACTGTGTTTTGCAATGTTCTACTTCAATTAAGGTTACAGCAGTCAAGATTGGCGCATTAACAATCGTATCAAGTTTGATATGTATGAGGCGCATAAATACTTCACTTGGAAATCAGTATCGCAAGCTTGAAGTTTATCCGCCCATTTTCGGAAGTAAAACACAGGGTACTAATAGACGTGGCACACTTGCTTACAAAAGAAGGGGTTTCATTTTCAGAATTAACTTTATGGACATGTATCTGCATTTATCTAGGAGAAATAGCATTTTCCAATTATAAATTATTTAATTCGATTGAGTAATTTAATTCGGGACAGACAACAAACTCGAGTAATTAAACAAAACCAGTTTTTTTTCCTTTTTTTGTGAAAACAAATCCAAAAGACAGATTTAGCTACTCAGTTTGACTGTTAAATTCAGATCTGAATTAATATTCGGAAATTAGTCAAAAAACTGGCGCACCATGTCGAACTACTATTTTTGGCTGAGTCAGAGTTCAAGTGTTTTACATTTTCATAACTTAAGGTATTTCGTATATTTTGTTTTTTTTTCATTCATACCAACCGTATTTTAGCATGGAAAATTGTTCGACATATTTCACTGTAAGTTGTCGTCTTCAATTTTACTGTGAGCCTCGTAAGAAATTTTTTCTTTATTAGGTAACAAACGATGTATAAATTTAATCCAAAGATATAGGAATAGGTGAAGAGGACTTATCTAAAAGTTTCAGTAAACCGCGCACTCTATGCCGAATTAGTTATGATATAATCTGTCTTTCAGGATAAACGACAGTTTTACTGGTAATGGTCAGTTTGAGGTCAGTTTAAAGTATAATTAAGCAATCATGTGCAGCTTTGCTCCAAGATTGCTTCGTAAATTTTAATTGATGTTCTCACACACTAGGACTCATCCTCCCCATTTATGCAGTATAGATTTTGCATCATAATTTAGTGCCGTCTTCTCAATTTATGAACAGTTCGCCAAGTATTGTTTTTCTACGTTAGTCTTAGAAGATTTCTTCATTATAGTTTTCTTTTCTTTTTTATATAAATGGTAAAAATCTCTTGAAAAATTAATCCTCAACAGCTTGAGTCGACTCATTTTCTGATTCCTGATGGTCGAGAATAATATCCTCACATGTCATTATTAAACAATCAAACCAATGATACACTATGATAATTGATCCACTCATTATGATATAAATTTAGATCTCGCTTATACTTTTTTTTTTCTGGAAACCATCACTCTTTTAGTGTATTGTCCGTTAGTTCTATTAATAATTCTGCTTCTATCGATAAGGTATAATTATGTAAATGTCTCAAATCCTCAATTTCAGCATTATATGGGAATACAGTTAAAAAAAGCAGCGTACTTATTCAGTTCATTTCATCCTTTTTATTAACATGAGCCGCTCTCGTGGAGCTTAAATAATCGAAATGTTGAACTTCGTTTCATGAACTGTTGTCACCAGTTTTCTTCAACCATAACAAAGATTGAGGGTTTTTTCTGCCTTTTTGGTTGGTAGTATCTTAAACTTGGGTAATTAAATCTTTATTTCGATAAGTTGGTTAGTATAACAACGAATTTAGCAATTACGACATCGATACAAAAATTAATGACGATCACTATAAAAAAGGAGACCAAATGACGCCTGTCGTGGATTTTTGTTAAAGTAATTTTCGGTCAGTCAATAGTTGGAAACAAGCAGGGGATTTTTTACACGTTGGTTGTAGAGGAGAAGAATTGAGGTCACTTGAAGTATTAGCTGCACCAAGTTTGATGTGGATGATGTGCGTGTGTCGTACGTTGTGGACAAAGGCAAGAGTTGATTCTTTATTTGTCAAGGGTAAGGTCACAAAAACGACACGATCTGGTGATAATGATGAAAAAAATAATCCAAACTGATCGAGTATAATGAAGAACTGATTGTCCAAAAAGAACCCCTTGGTTCACTCAATACCGCTTATATACGGAAAAAGTGGGACTGGTTTTGCTATCATGGCTGAAAACTGTAACGTTCAATTACAGCATAAGCATCTTAGGAGATCGAAACGAGAAGGATGTGAATTTTTGGGGGAACAAGAACAAAGGAAATGTTTAAGATGTGAATTTAGTTAGATATTTTAAGCAATTGCTAACAAAGGCATTTCTAAACAAAGACATGTGCTTAGATATAAAGGAAAAACATGGGAATTGAAACGGGAAATAAATCTAAGGATGTAAATTTTGCTAAATGATTCACAACATTTGGAACATTCGTTTACAACAAGAAATTTATTTGATTTATTTGTTTGTTTGAGGTATGGTTAGAGTCTCGCGAATCGGGATTCGCGACAACGCCCAATATCCTCTATCCCACCAACCTCGTTGAAACTCATTTGTGAAATAATTTTGGTACTCAGGACTCTTCGCTTCTTGGAGGAGGGAGGATCTTGGTACAGTTCTGAGTTTACAAGAATTAGCGCATTTAGTAGCGCACGTGGAATTGAGTTTTTTAGCGTACACAGACACAATGGCACACAATTTTAGCTTACATTTTACATTACATAATAAAGCCACAAATACAACATACTCTCAACGGTATCAAATTTATACCAGGAATTACTGTTCATTGCTTTTCACGATTTCAGCGACGCCTGCTATTCAAATGGATAGTACGAAAGCATCCATATATAACTTATGGTACACAAATTTTAGGCTTATGGTAAGCTACAGTTATTTGTATCTAACATATTTTCTTAAACCGCAGAGGGCGAACCAAATCAGGAATTTCTTTCCTCTCATAAATGACTAATAATTTAGATGTAACATCCCCCACATATGTGTATCTCCCATCCAGCTCATGAGAGGTAATACTGCGACGTCGAAGTCCGGAATAAATTGTAATCCATGCTCGAACAGAACCTGTCAAACGACGTAATCCAACTGAACTACGCCATAGCGACCTCATTTCTGATTGTTCAGGGTTAGGAATAATATCAAATTCTAAACTAAGCTCAATTATACATTTTGTGCTGCAGTCTCCAAGGGCCAGATCTCTCAGAACTAGAAAAAAAGGCGGACACGTTATTAAGACTTGAAAATCTTTAGTGACTCCGGATACCACAATCAATTTTTTAGCAAAAAACGGATTATGATCAAAAGAATGTCCTTTTCCTACTCTCTCCTTTCTCCACGAATACAACATCTACATGCAGAAATAGATTCAGGTTTGGTTTATTGGTAAATCCTTTTTATTCTATAAGGCAACTATATTGGCACGGGCACTGTGAATTTGATATATTTTAAAATTAAGATTGAAAGAGAAGATATATACAAATAAGTCACAAAATAAAAGAACTGACTGTTTCGCTTATCAAACAGGCAAAACCTGGTGATAAAAGTGATAACAAAGCAAGCGAATAACAACTGGTGCAGCTAGGAAATATCCCCACGGAAGTTTTCGCAAAAATAGATGCGGTCGAAGGTAGGTTTTTGGGAACGTGAAAAAGTAACACATCCTCCATAGCGCTTTGCACAGAAATGCGTTAGGGGCTATGCGAACATTCCAGAAACTGCTCGAACAAAGGAAACTGTACTACTTTGCAGAGCAACATTTTCAATCATGGTGCAGTAGTTAATAATGCGGTTCTCAAATATGTACGCCTCAACAACTTTCATGGAAAGATTCTATCACGGATGCAACGGAAAGTGCTTTATAAGTGAAACTATTCCATTCATTACAAGAGGTTCTTCAAAATCCATTTGACTACCAAAACAAATCAAAGATTAGATTTTAACAAAAAGAGGACAAACCAGTTGTTCACATAAAGACATTTAATACTGCGAAATTTGTTTCAAAACAGCGTTAAAATGAAGAGCTAGTCTGTAAGCAATCACAACCTTTCGTTCTTCATTTCCTGTATTAATAAATCACACTTTTTCGCGAAATCTCCAAGCTTCTCCGAAGGTCTGTAAATCAGTTATTTTATTACTCATTAAAAATGATTTTTAGAGGCTGCTTTTATTTTCCGACTGTTCAATACAAAAACCATTTTCAGCTCAAGGGTAATCGCAATGAAAGAGATGAAAATCTGAGGTTGGCGCAAACTTTTTCAACTTTCTATGTTAAAATATTTACATCTGCATTCAGATGAACTTACATTCCATAGCGCTCTCCAATTGTGAAAAAATCGTTTCCAATAAGGAACGCAACAATTTGTTTTCTTTCTTTACGCAAAAGTTTTATGGCATCTTCATCCGGGTAACTATACCAAGAGAAAGTCTCGTCTCGAGTTTTCGCAAAATATAGTTGTAAAGACTCTTGCATTTTTCGAATATCCTCCAAGCATTTCACATCAACAGCCTACAATATAAGGTTGTTTCAATTTGTCTTCCTAATTTCCTGAATATTTGAATGCATTTCTAACCTCTCTGTATATGTCTTGTTCGATGCACAATCTCAAAAGGCGTCGAGTGAAAAATGCTCTTGATTCTTCCCATTTCACTACTTCCTGAAATATCCTTCTTTTGAAAGAAATTGGTAACTTAATAAAAATTTCTGGGATACCTGAAATTTTACAAATTTTAATTTTTTTTTCATTATTTATAAAGCAGAAAATCTACGAATAGAATTAAAAAAAAAACGAAATCAAAAATTCTATATCCAAACCATAATATAGAGATAGAGCATTTAAAAAGTGGTATTTTGGATAACCAAAGCACAAGTACTACCACAGTTTTCGATATAACGGATGACAGGGAACTTAAAATTTCATCCGTTTCCAAATGAAAACAATACCTTAATGGCACCAACAGCTTTCATTCGCACGGCTGTATCATGTAAATCAGCAAATGTGATAGCAATATTGCGATAAGTTGGCATTAACAATTGAATACGAGCACTGATGTCCACTTTCACATCGTTACCCTCTTTTTCCAATACTCCTAATCGAATCATTTCTTTATCCAGCCGTCGCATCAGTGGTACCAAATCCTTCAAGTATGCATCTATTAACGAAACAGTACCCAACTTACATCACTTATTAGAAGTTTGTCCTTCAAGAACCAGTACATCCTCCAGACTGGAATTTTACAGTTGTAATATCCGGCAAAAGCAAACCAAATTCTTGCACATGTCAACAATGCAGTTAAAGTTCTCTGATCAATTTCATTCGAACAGAACATTCCGATATTTGAAAAGGAAAAAAAAAAGGAAACGTGTGCCATACTATACACTAACTTTACGCATTTTTACTTGAACAGTTCCTTCTGGTTCCAGAACACCACCCCTCGATCGCGGATCAGCAAACATTTGCATGCATACAGGATTTATTGTTGGATCAACAACCGCCCAAGCCCCACCGCGTAATTCTCCGTAGGGCGGAATATAAACTATCACCGGATTCAGGTATTTAGATAACTGATCGACTATATAAGCACCAAATTTGAGGACCATTTCGAACATATCTATAATAAATATTTTAAAAGTTACTTTTTGAACTTTTAGAAACTGCAAGACTTTTTAACCAAGTAATACGTTTTAAAAAATGAGGCAAACCGAAAAATTCATGTCTCGAAATATGCATAATCCCCATTTATAAATGCAAAATTAAAGTACCTTTCTGGCCACCACTGAAGCCACGCCAATTGGCTAGAATAAACAAAGGCAAAGATTCTTTATTGAAATCTTCGATCGCTTCAGCAGTCTATAACTACCACGATTTCAAGTAGTGAAAGGAAAAAAAATTTAACAATGGTGCACGTATTAAAGGAACTACAGAAAATGTACCGAAGCAGCAAATTTCTGATTCCGTCCTCAAATGTAATCATCATCAAAAACTGATAAAGCTTACTTTATATGCAGAATCAGGATACCACACCTGTCCAGCTTGCTGGATACATTTCGCTTGAGAATCTGGAGCAGCCGGATCAGCCGGAATTTCAGCAAAAACACTTCTTGTTTCGACAGCAATAACACCAATACTGATACCACCCAGACGTGCTCGACCTGTGATTACCGTTTTTCCCCAACCTGATTTAATCTTAAAAAAAGAAGAGTAGATGGCGCAGTAAGCAGAGAAATTGGACAGAGATTAGCTGTTACAGCTGAAAAAACAAGTGCTAGGACCCTATAAGTGAGATAGCTTATTTTCTTATACTCTAAGACTATTGAGCTTTATAGCTTGATTTTCGCACTGAAATTTAAAAAGTGAGAAACGACCAGGACTGAGACAGAATCAGGCAAAGTAGAAGTTTCAGGTAAAATCAAACAAGAATAAAAAAAACTTACTTCAAAAGAATTCCGATCAAAGATCGTCATCATTAAACGCGGATCGCTTTCCTTATTCTGTGATGGCAAATGACTTAGAAACCGATCAACGGGGTCCTCAGCATACTCAAAACTTGGTTCCTTAAATGGCGCCTGCAAACGAATTGAAATAAGTAAAGGCAAATTTCAGCTGTACCGAAGTTATTTTTTGCTGAATAAAATTTCAATTGTGGAATGTGCTAATAAATAGCAAAAGGACTTGAAAATAATAGAGTATGCATACAAATAAACCTAAACCTTAATGAAATATATCAATCGCATTGTACAGAACATACTGATGAGTTTAAAATCAAACCTTCACATTTTTACGCGTGTACGATAGCCACCTTAGCAATTGGCGGACACCATCATAATCATTGCTAACAGTCGAGTGTGTAACACCATTACGAGTCATTATTTCAGTACCACCCAACTGCCCATTAGATGTATAAACTTCACGACCAAGTACAGAATTCAAGGCAGGCGCGCCAGTTAAAATAATATCTGCATTTTCAACTTGACAAATTCTTCTCGAAAGTCGGGCGACATAAGCGCCGATGCCAACAGTGCGACCAGTTACCAAACAATAGGTTATCACTTCATTGTACGCTCGTGATGTTTCACCCGCAATCATCCCGGAACCAACCAGATTCTCTACGCCAAGGTCACGCTAAAAACATAACACATAGAGCAGTTATCATATCTCACTAACTGCACATGAAATTGGAAGCAGTTAAACAAAACTTGTCAATTCAGAATATAAAACAAAAGGGATGAAAGATTCAAAAGACCGAATTATAGAAAACAAATCTTAAAGAGCTCCAAGAATGAACGGATACATGGCGCTACAAAAATTTTCCAAAACTGAATGAAGTAACACCATTACAACAAAACATGAAATGAATAAAATAAAACAAAATTAATGGATAACGCGGAAACAAAATGATATGAAAACACTGGTTACGAATATCTACCTACTCATAATGCGTACCTCTTTGCCAATAATCCCATCAATTTGATGAAAACCGTTTCTACGATGCGTAGCGACAATTTGCTGCAGTTCACGTACGTCCTCATTTGTAAGATAAAGTCCATCAAAACCTTCCACTGGATTATTTTCGTTCTTCCAAATAACTTTGAAAAGTTTTTTCAGCTGCAAAAATATTTTGTATCTGTGACAAAGAGCAACAGGGAATCAACACGCGATAAAATGCTTTACTGTTTCATTCCAGTTATGCTAAAGTAATAAGTGAAAACAACTAACATCAGCTGATAAGCCAATCCTTGCACCCGAATTAGCAGCAATGTATATTCGTGGAATTCCTTCTTTCCGACTTAAGCATGAAGCTTCATAGTACAGACGATGTTCACACATCGAAAATGAACCAATCTGATGGGAAATATCATTTGCAATGACAATCACTTCTCGTCCTTCTGGATATTCCGGAACAACTAGCCGTACACGCCATGCAACTATACCAATCTTACTCAGTGAACCACTTTCATTAAGTTCAACGAGTTGTTTTGAATCTTCATCATAAACCAGTTCGTGGAATTGGCACAAATTCTCGAGTACCAAGTCTGGTGATTCCTGCGACCTTAAGATGACAGAGATAATATGAGCTGTGACAAATAAGGAGTTTTTAAGAGAATTTAAAAAT